TGTTAAATAAATACCAATAAAATAACCGAAAATCAGGTTTTCTCCAAAATGGCCCAAACGATTTTGATAAAAATTTAGTATGTTATAGTCCTTGAGATTCTGAACAAAACTGTACAAATCCCATGTCCGTAAAATATGTTGTAAAGTCATTGTAACCTATTTTATCTTTCCATTTAAAAAAATACAAAAATCGGATTACGGAAAAAGACCGGGTTTGGCTTTTCTAGCTGACCGATTATCAAGATTGAGGTATCAAATTGAAGGTATGCTCGCACAGATTTGCCATCATGCATCGGCATAGAGTATAACTGTCTATAGTCTCACTCGGTTATTTTAATACAATTACATTATATACAATATAAATCTAGAGGCCTGCAGTTTCTATCATGGGTACTATTAATTTCTGATCTATTTGTACACTGTATTTGTAAATAAATGAATACTTACAACTCCAGAGAGGCTGTTGTAGTTGTTACGGTAGGACCGCTTCGCCCAGCTGGCATCAGTGACGACGGTGAGCAGCGGCACGCCGTACTTATCGACGTCTCCTCGTTCCCTTGCAAGTCTCGCCTCCTCCGCCGCCGCCGCCTTCATCTCCTCCAGCGCCGTCTCCTCCCATCCCTTGGACACCTTCTCGTGGATGCGGTCGTACGTTTTAGCGTTCATACAACGAACGTCGATCCCTGACATAATTTGACTCAACATAGTGTATCCTCCCCCCGCGTTCATCACTGCCGCTACAGCTGCTTCATTTACGTCCATCGCAGTTTCACTTTCATCTTCACTCCACAAAGTGAACTTCACACTACACATATTACAGTTGAATACAAAACCGGACCTCAAACCGTGGTAAAGTTCTTTTTGAAAAATCATATTTTTCAATGTGCAACCGAACTTTTCACCATGACTGCTCATGTCTCTAAACTGTCTTATCAAATATTCAATGTCGACAATTCTTCTACTGGTGAGAAGCTCTTGGAAGGCAGGAGCAGGAGTGGATGGCTCCTCAGTCTCTGGATAACGAAACTCCTCTTGCATTGGGGTGACTGGAACCTCTGGCACCGGCTGCAGACAATCGAAGGTCGCGGGTACAGCATCCTGTTCAACGATTGATGTGGGATCCACCGGGAGCACTCGCGATAACTCACTTTCTTCGGATCGGGATTTTACTAGACCATAACTCTTCAATATTCTCCACTCAGCAAACCTTTGTCCAGCTCTGCACTTTGTCTTTCTAACTTTATTACGTTTGTTACCCATTTCAAAACTAAAAACTAAAATAAACACTACCGGTAAAACTATTATATTACCTACTAATTATTAAACCATATAAAATAACTAAAATTACACTTCAATATGGACAAAAAAACTAAAATTATAAAGTCTCAATGCAAATAAGCCGTCCTAACACAATATAACTCAAAGCCGCAGCACAGCGTATATGTGTTTCGGTCGCTACTATAACGCCAACTGAGGTCCAATCCAAGATTTTAACCAAAGGGTTACATCTCTTAGAAATGGGCAGGTTTCCTCATTTCCAAGTACTGAGTAACTGTACTGGCGGCTATTGTCAGTCGGGTGCGAGGGATGTGCCGCGCGGCGGACCGAGCCTAACAATAACCAGATGCCAGATGTGACAGCGATCCATGAGTTGTATCATTGACTAAGGAAATATAAGGAATATATACTTGTAATCCTATTTAGTCTATGGTTGTATGTTTAAAGGCTACTGCCAATCGGCTGAATTGGAAATATGTTTTGAAAAAAATTGAACCAGTCGTACAGTAATATTTAAAAACATACTGTGATCGGAGTTAGGCCTACATCACTTATTAATTTCGTTTTATATTAAGAGTTGAGAATGTAAGTGTTGACAACACATTACACCTACGAGAACATTATACATTTACTTTATGTAAGTTACCATCATCATGGTTCATACTATTACAAGACAACTTATTTTAATAACGCTCACACTTTTTATATAATAAAAGATAACATTAATTTAACTCAATGACAGCTATATCAAATACAATGTTGATTTTGGTATGACAACACTTAGTTTGTTTATCTAACAATTTAAATACACACTTAGTACGTAAATATCGTTCGTACACACTTTAAATGTGATACACCGTACTTTATCGTATAATAAAAACTTGTTTCAAATTTGTTTCTAAACTTTGCTTTCAAATGTTTTAGTTTCCACATTCAAATCCATATATAAATATCTCAGCTGTACTTATTTGTTTGGTATTATTTACATTTATTACCTTACTAGCTGTAACCCGCGGGCTTTGCCCCGTTTAACTTCTTAATTTTCAAGATTATCTCGTTCGCATGGCTCAATCACGTCCTGGTTGAAGTTTGTTCGCTACGCTCACTCACCTTTAGGTTGGAGCTCGTTCGCTACGCTCACTCACCTTTAGGTTGGAGCTCGTTCGCTGCGCTCACTTGCCTTCAGGTTAGCTCGTTCGCTACGCTAACTCACCTCCAGGTTGAAGTTCGTTCGCTACGCTCACTCACCTTTTGGTTGCAAATTAGCTGTTGTCATAAATGTAAAAGAAATAATAGTGCTGCACCCTGTTGGTAATCCTTGTAACTTTAACACGTAGAGTGCGGCCGTTCCCGATCGGGTACGGTGCTTGGCCCCCGTACGGTGCGTCCGTACCCCATCGGGAACGCTCGGTAATGCCTTTTGTATATCTTCGTTTTTGCTCCAGCGTCGGCCGAAAGCGGACCTATACGACGTTAGCGTGTAGTATGTGACTTGCATTTTGTTGTGGTGTAGGTTGGTAGTAAATTTCCCCGTAAAATCCCCGTCTGGCAATCTCAAAAGTCTTCTTTTTTTCCCGTCTTTTTCCCTCCATTTGGCAATACAATTCCAATGGGACCGGCTACGTTCCAAGCAGTGCTGCAATCTGTGGGTGTTTAGCGAACTACATCGACTCTCGTTGTAAAGCAGGACATCCCCTCACGTTATTTGCTATTCGTCAGACCAAAATTGAAAAGGCCAATCACACGCGGCAATCGGGTTTACTCGACGCTGAGGGCTGCGCCGCACTGGGGATACGCCCGCTATTTGACGTGCCGCAGCGAACGTGTTAATGCTATTGAACATCATAGAACAGAACCAACTTGTTTAATTGAAACAGCTGTTAAGAATCAATAATTCCATTTCTCATAAGGTTAACATGGGAAACTCCAGAGCCACTGGGGCGGAGTCCGAAAGGATTTTTGAAATAAGAATATGCCTATATGTTAATCGGGAATGTGAGCTATAATCATGCCAAATTTCAGTCCAATCCGACCAGTATTTTTCGCGTTCACTTGTCACAAACATACATCCATACATCCAAACTTTCTCATTTATAATATTAGTAGGATTAAAATATGGTGTGATTATTTGTTTGTATTACTGTACCTATTTTGTTTTGTTTATTTCAGCTTAACAACCAATCAATGGTTTTATCAAAGATTACATATGCTACGCAAAATGCGTAGCATATGTAATCTTTGGTTTTATTAATACTTATGAAGTCAAACGGGATAAAGCCCGTGGGTAACAGCTTTGACTATTAGTCAATGGTAACAGCTTATTTTTAAATTCAAAATACGCGGGGTTCAATTTCTGCCGTCGTAGTAGTTCGGCGCTCTGCAGACAGACGGCGCGCTGATCAGTGGCTCGCTCGTGTTACTTCTTTTGAAACATGCATGACTTTAAACACATTTAATTCATTAAATTTAAATCTTAGCTATTTGGAACTTTTACATGAAGGACTTGATAATATTTTGAAGGGGAATATGAAAGCAAAAATTGATAAAATGTCCGTTAATAGGTTGAAAAAGAGTGATGAATGTCGACATATTTTTTTTTAATATTCTACGAATCTGAAAATAAAAATAATTTTTTTGTTTCATAATTCACTAGGCATTAAAGCTTTCTTCAAAATGAGACCAAATTCAAAATTTTACATCAACAAATAAACCCGTAGTTTGTGTTTAAATTTAACATTATTCTTATGGGACTAAAAATCCAATATGGCGGAGGTACCACAGACTCTTAAGGCGGGGCCAGCTGTGACTGGTGTGCGAGTCTTTTTTAAACACTGAGTTTTTTTCTCGAAAACGCTTGTATATGACCTCTTGTGTTGGTTGATGCTTAAAAAGCAACTGTATTAGGCAACCGTTTTCTGCAGATAGGAAAACGCAGCCTTTTTGGTTTTTTATATACATGGTTAGTTAAAAAAATTCAAAATTGGCCCATTGTTGTTAACAAAAATATTTTTTAACACATCAACTAATACATGACAACTTCAGTTCCATGGAAGGCCGCCACATTGCTCATTGCGGTGGTGGGGGCAGTAACCTGTTCGGAACAATTGATCCTGACCACGGCAACATCTGTGTGATAAATCTGATGCTCAAGATAGCCGACGTGGTAAACCTCAACTAAGGCAAAGGAGTAGTTAAGTTTAAAAGTCAAAACCCAGACGCAAACCCTGGAAGGATAACCCAACTCTCCTTTCTACAGTCTATCTAGAAAATTAGTACCGTTTAGTGTGTGGTACTTGAATCTGGCATATTTAACAACTGTTTCATTTTACAGTTTGTGGAAAAGTATGTCACAATTTTCATTTTAATTTTCAACCTTGAATTTCTCATTTGAGTTAGAAACAAAACATAGATTACCATTGGAGATTAAGGTAGGCTACAAAATAAAATATGGCAAATTGTGTACAATAAAACTTCTACTGTAAAATATTTTGTAAAAACTGTAAAAAAATATAATTTAATGCAAAATAAAAGAAAATTTGATTCAATAAAAAAAATATGGATAGTGAAATTATCTTTCCAAATTTATCTAAGTAATAACCAGCTCTTAGAATTTTAACCTGTTTGGAAAACTTTAAAGGGTGTATAGTTACACATTGTACAGTTATTTTTCATTGTTACACACCAGAACCAAACGACAATCTATCACTTGTATGCTTCTGCAGGAGCTGAAGAATGTTCTAACAAGTGACTCAGGTAGACTGGACACTGTCAAGCGTACTTCATTCCGTCATTCTTCTCTTCAGTCCATCGCAAACCTCTTCTCCACTCCACAACGCTTCCAGAGACGTGAATCTACAAGCATCCCCACCACTTCAAAGAGCTCACTTGATGACACGGCAGTAAGTAAAGTTGCCTACTCTGTTAATCCTACCAATATCACAATTAATTATGCTATATCAAACGAAAGGTCAGAGTTAGACAGTATTTAAACCAGTCTAATAGTAAATTATAACATTGCAGGATAATAAAGGGTAAGGTATGTCTGAATCACAAACAGCAAGTAGTGTAAAATTATACAATTTATAATTTAATGTTTTAAATTAATTTATGTTGTAAAAAAAGTCTTAAATATCATAAAAATTCGCTATTCTAGCTTCAATTAAAAAAAAATTCTCCTAACCCCACGGAAAGTCTGGCGCCACCCCCTTTTCCAAGACCCTGTACAAGCCTATGGTGATATTCATAATTTTTACACTAGAAACAGACATCAATTTGACATGTCACACGTTAGATTGAAATAAAACAAAGAATAGTAATACAGTTTTTGGCCTAAAATGACTAAATAAAATAACTAATGAAGTTTTATCACTTCCTTACAAAGTGTTTAATGCTAAAATTCATATGGCTGGTACAGTAAACAATCCGTTCTATCCTATAAAACGAAACTTACTTACTACTGTCATGGCCACTTGTACCCAAGCTGGTACTTGGCCTCGCCAACACGTTGTCGCCAGTTCTCTCGGTCCTCCGAATCTTCCCCTACTAGTCTCATCTTTTCCATATCCTTCTGGACTTGATCCCACCACCTAACCTTTGGTCTTCCTACTGGACTCCTTCCCCTCGGATCTCCCCTTAGTACCTTCTTCAACAAGCTCTCCTCATTTCTCCTCAAGATATAGTCAACCCACCTTAGCCTTCAGCTTTTGGCCTCTCCTACAATATTGGGGTCTCGGAATGATTCTCTTAACTCTTGGTTATGGCATATTCTCCATACTCCATCTTAACAGACTGGACCATATACAGGGTGAGTTTTAAATGAGTTCTCTCCTACTTTTTTCTACATTTCTTAAGATATCAACTCCGGACCACGTCAGATCATTGTAGAGTAGTAAGTACTTCATTTTGACTGGGTATACATTTTTGGCCGCCATCTTGGATCCGCCATAATATTGGATACAAAGTTTTTTCTTTCAAATGTAAAGGTAGGGTTGTGACCCATTATTTCAAATTAGAATTTTACGCTGATTACAATGCCGCAATAAGTTTAAAAAAATCTTGATCCGTTCTAAATTTGTAAGGACTTGTTATAACTTTATTTTTAGCCCATTTTAACATTGTGCATTTACAAACTAAGACCATAATCTCAAAATAGTGCTAGATAAAGATAAGTATACACCACCATTCATTGTCGACCTATTTTCACTTGGTTATAGGTGTTTACATTTAAAAATTTGGGGCTGCTCCCACGAAACCCCATTTTGGAGGCCGGGTAGAAGTTCTAACTTTAATGAAAAATTGCATTTTTTAATGTTGTAAACATGTGCCGAGTTTGGTTTTCCCACTGCCACACGTTATAAAGTTAACTGGGGGGTTCCAGACTTTATCGTGCTTGCTCATCTTAAATTAAAATGGCTGCCATTTTGATTAGGGTGCGATATTGACCTCTGGTTTGCGACATTCAATTTCTCTTGATAAATCCTTTAAAATGAGGGGTCACATGAAAGGTGTTTACATTTGAAAATTTGGAGATGCCCCCAAAATACCCCCTTTTGAGGGCTGGGGCAAAGTTGCAACTTTGATGACAAAGTGCAATTTCTTATGTTGTAAATATGTGCTGAGTTTGGTTTTCCTAATGCAACGCGTTAAAAAGTTAACAGGGGGGTTCCAGACTTTTGTCTAACCCTGTATAACTATAGAGATAACTTTTGGATTTTCCCTATATGCCATAGTTACTCTCACCGCTTACCCATGATAAAGGTTGTTGACAAGCAAATGGGAGCAAGTATGTGTCAGATTGCTGAAACCGTTTATTTACTAATGTGAACCAACATGGAACCCTTTTGACCTTTCCACTTGCAATGTAATTTGTCCATGTGGTAATGAACATTTTATTCTTGAATCTTCTGGATTCGATTAAAAGTTTAACACATTGGAACCATGTTTTGCGACCTCTATTTTTAAGGAAAACTGTTTTAGACGTTTCAAACTATATTTTTGAAAAAGTTTACTGAAAAACAATACAATGTCTTGTTTTGCTGATTTTTATTATTCCAATGGGGAATTTTGTGTCTATATAATTTCCCTACCTTGTTGCATAGTTCCTTTTAGGTTTATGTATTTAACTGAACTTTGAGATTGAAATGTATTTTCAACTTTGTCTTATCACTTACAGGTTCAAGCAAATGAACCGCAGGTGGAAAGCAGAATTGTGAGTCTCCGAGATGAGTCTGACGAAGATGAACTCTCGTCACCATTTTTGGCTGGTTCATCACAAAACATAGGCTTTGCCAAGTAATAGATTTATCTTGTACTTTGCACCTATTGCACCAAAGATTAGTTTGTGTTATGTATTTGAGAAAGTTATTTATTACTTTTTTAGTCAATTAAAACAGTTAAACACTCTGTCAGTCTTGTGTATTATTGCCTGTAGTCTGTCTATAATCTATAGTGATCATTTTACACCTCAGTATGTAATTATTCTTGTCTTGATCAGGAAAATATACAAACAAATTGCATACTGTCAAAATAATTATGAGATTTAAAATATTGTGCTTCATTAAATGAATGATAGTTGTACAGTGGAGAGTCAAAAATTTGAACGTCAAAAATCTGAACCGCTCCTGAGGGTTTAAAAATATTGAATTAGCACAGAGACAACAGATGTTTGTAAAAAGTAGGGAAGACAACCTTGAAGATCTATATAAATGCAAGATGAATAATGATAAAATTAGATAAGCTGATGCTAATAGTAAAACCATAGCCTTCTCTTATACACACCGGGATAGCTATTGCTATGGTAATAACAGGAATAACAAACCTTAACATGAATTATATTGATTTTAATTGTGCATACACTCCAGTGTAACAGCTTTTTCAGAATACCAAACTGTGGCTGTGGCACTTTTGTCTCGCAGCGGCCTTAGATGAGGCTATTGTAAAACAGATTTGGTTGAGGGACTTCAATAAACACAGCTGGTTGTATAAAAGTGTGTTATATCATACAAACTCAAAAAATAACAGGTGTATTAATAAAATAAATAACATAGTAGTCTAATAGAGTAATCAAAAAAAATTTGGAACACTTTTGAACATGACTGCTATTTAAATATTACTTGATTCTTAAATGTGAGAGGTATGTAGAAGTACACTAAGTCACTGATAAATTTCAAGTCAAATAGGCTAAATCTTGAAGGACTTATTTTTCTGCTCCTTCGACACCTGCTTGGGTCATTAGATCTGAGATGTTCTTTTCCAAATCATCGATGCGGTTCCCCATTTCATCTAGTAAGAATCAGTTAAGGCACATAATACCAATCCAAAATTACACTTATAAAGAGTAAGACTAAGAATATTAGTGTTAGCACTCAGGCAACTAATGTAGACACGTAATATGATAACAGCAACAGCAAATCAGATGAGGCCACGAGTGTAACCAGGGGGCTACAGTACCTGTGTGAAGGGTTGGGGTGAACCAAAGGCCTGCGAAAACAACATTCCTAAGCAATAGAGCGATAGCAATGGCCGATGGTTTCTTACTGAACTGTGTTGTATGGTGTGCAGGAAGGCTGAAATCTGTTGATCTTCTGGTCTGGTATGAGTGAAAATCTCCATTCCTGGGAAGGTCCAGTCGGTCAGTGTATTGAACAACTGTAATGATATAAAGTGCTATGACGTTTACAATCTGGACCTTCCCAGGATTGGAGATTTTCACCCATACCAGACCAGATGAGCAACAGATTTCAGCCTTCCTGCACAACATACAACACAGTTCTGTAAGAAACCATTCTATATCAGTCATAAGATTATCAATGCACTACCTTAAGACCGAGAGGAAACACACTAAAACAGGGACTGCAAGACTGGCTGGTGGAACGACCTGTTTACTCAACCAAAGACCTAAGACCAGAAAATACTTGTAAAGCAAGAAATCTAAACAAACATGAGGCTATTGTATTTCTTGAAGAAAATGAAAATAATAATAAAAAAAATTGTCTATGAAATAAGTACTGCAGCAAATGTGATTAGGTCTAGCTACCTTTCAATTTGGTACCAAATTTGTATTCAAAAATGTTTTAATGATGTAAGGCCTACTTTTTTATTTCGGTTAAGTTTTTTGTAGCAAATCGCTTTATATTTTACAAACACTCAATTAAAAATTGAGATTTAACAATTTAACATTTAATTTTTTTCTGAGGGATTCTTCAAACAAGTAAATCTAACGTTTTCAGTCTTTCCTTTAAATTTTGAATAATTAGGAACAAGGTAAGGGACCCTTGTGTTACTCGTAAATAGAAATAAGGTTCATTGGAAATGTAAACTCCTTAAAATGTAGAACAACAACAAATGTATTCAGACAGCTTTAAATAGGTATTAATTTTAGTTCAAATCCACCAAACAGCTTCAAACTTTCAATTGTAAGGTTGAGAAAAGCGTTGTACCTCCACACAAGTTGTCTAGTTAATTTTAGGTCAAAATGTAAGAAACATTTTGTCCGTTTTCATAAAAGAATCCAATTGTACCGGGTGTCCACAAAGTCTTGGTCTGATTTAATAGCTTTGCTGTACGAAAACCATTAGAGCCACACTTTTAATAAAATTGGTAATGCCTAAACACAGCTGATTGACAACAATACAATCATGATTCAATATAATAACAAATCAGAAATGGTGAGTTTACAAGAGAAATCACAGTTTGTGTTGTTTTTTCACGAAACCCAATCCCCTATAGCAGTTCAACGACTATCCATTTAAGTGGGAAGGTTAACAGACACAATAATTGTAGAATTTGAGGGAGTTAAAATCCCAGGACCGTGATTGAAAATGAAAGGGCCAGTCCAAAACTAAATCTTTGGTGCGGTGTAATGCATGATGGAATCATAGGATGAATTTTCGTTGCCAAAGAAATTGTAAATGGGTTTGTTTACTTGGTTATGTTGGAGTTGTATGTAGTACCTCAACTATAAGAACTGCAACTTATGATAGTTTTCCAGCAAGGAGGCACTCCACCTCATTGGGCTAAATCTGTGAGGGATTTTTTAAACCTTTACTTCCCTGGTCGCTGGATCAGGCGTGATGGCCCGACCAAATGGCCACCTCGTCCCCACCATGTAACCCCCATGGGTATACTGGGGTATACCCCATGGTATACCCATGGGGTATGGGTATATATACATACCCCGGGGGTTATTATAATATCTTTCTACCTGTTCTAGAATTGAGATATAGTTTACAATCCCAAAATATTAAAGTTACAAAGTATAGCAAATGGTTTAAAACCTAATAGTTAAAAGGATATTCCTTGTGATGATTTGTTCTGACATGGTCTGGAATTTGTCTTGGGTCTGTTGAAGCAATGTTTGAATCTGAAAAAATAATAATAATATTAGTATTTTTTGTGAAGTTTAAGGACACAAAACTGTTGGTTACTGTGCCATGACATTTGGCACCTTAAATCACAGGGGTTCGTATTCAGCCTGGCATCTGAGACATAACAATACAAATATTGGGCCAATTAAACTGAAATTTAAAGCCTTGATTCAAACTGTATTGAGGCCAAGATTTTTCATTGTTATAAAGATTGTATTTGTTTTTTTTTTTTGTTTGTTTGTATGCCATTGGATTTTTTTTTACCTTTTTTGTAAGGGGACGATCAAAAACCTGGTCTTGTTAGATAGCACCATTAATTAAATAATGGCAAATGTGTCCAATCTAATTTGAAATCCAACCAGTGATCTTCAGATTAAAAGGTAATCACTATTTACTTGGCTATCCAGCAATCATTTGCTATGGTTTCACATTCTTTACTTATGGCTTTACTAAAATATTGATCACATAGCAAAACAATTTCAATGTTAACATTTTCTGTACAAACCTTTATTTACTATGTTGTATGTACATTTCTTATAAGTTTTGTAATTCATTCGGAAAGTTTACAGAAATGTTTTTAATAAATTTCATTATTAAATGACTTTGAGATTTCTATATGAGGTAGGCCTAACTTATATTTTGAGGTACCCAATTTTGGGAGGTAAAAACGTACCATGAATAAACACAAACGTCTAAGTGTTAGCCATAGTTTAAACTGGGCCCAGTATGCAAAGGAAGTAGGCATAGACTCAAAACACAATAAAGAATAAACATACTCACACAACATATATTTATTTATAATAACACTCCAAATCAAATCAAACCAACCAGATTACAGTTCACTTTGAGAGGATCAACACCATTTTACAAATAAATATTTAATACCAAAAACGATGTAACCCCTGAAACTGGTGTTTGGTGACAGACGAGAGACAACGACTAGACAATCAGACGGATCTTCGATCAGCTGTTGGCTAGTATTTTAATTCGCCCCAAGGAGCGTGTAAGCTTCAACCGAACCGTATTAATTCATTTGTATGCTTTCGACGAGGTAACTTCACTGTAACATATGCTACATTCGTAGGTATATAACTTATGCCAATCATTGTTGATTTATTACGAAGGTTAGCTATTCAATTGCTTTTACTTTGCTTTTGATAACTTTAAATTTAAGTTAGGCGTAGCCTAAATTAATGGGATAATTAAGTTACTTAATTTTTGCGAGCTTAAAAACAATAAGAAGTTACTGACCTCAGCAAACCCGTCATCAGCAGCTAAACAGCTTGGGGTGCACAGAAGGAGCCTCCCCGAAGATTGTGACCATTACACGCTATGAACGACATCACAATCGGGCGCACCCCGGGCAACGCTGACATGTCAGCGGCAAATCCTTCTACAGCCGGACGACTTCGAAACATGAATCTGCTTAAATGGTCTTTTTCACGGCCATTAGTAACGATCTCGATTAATATCGAGGGAATATCGAGAGACAAAGAAGTATTACTGTCCGATATGTGCAAGACGTACGAATGCGACTTCCTACTTGTGCAAGAAACACACCGGGGCATTTTAAAACCTAGACCCAACATAGAGGGAATGAGACTGATTCTAGAGAGACCTCATGATCAATATGGTAGTGCTGTTTTTGCCAGGCCATACATTGACATCACCTCAGCTTCGCTTACTGAGAGGAACAATACTGAGATACTAACGGTCAGGACACCACAGTACAGTGTCACCTCTTTGTATAAGCCTCCCGAATCTCAGTATGTATTTACAGAGCCCGATAATCTATGCTATGATGATATTAATTAATTGGGGGATTTTAATTGTCAGAGCATTGCTTGGGGATACAAAGAGACACGTGAAAATGGGACAAAACTTGAAACCTGGGCTGAGGCAAATGACCTGCAGCTCATACACGATCCTAAGCTCCCTTTGCTCCTTTAACAGGTAGATGGAAGAGGGGTTATAACCCTGACAACATCTTTGTGAGCAGCAGGATTGCCTCCCAGTGTGAAAAGTCTGTAGGTGATCCGATTCCCCGAACTCAACACAGACCTATAGTATGCACCGTTAGTGCTGTTGTTAAACCTGAAGTTGTTCCTCTAAGGCGCAGGTTTAATTTCAAAAAGGCCAACTGGATGGGTTTTAGGGAGATCATTGACAGAGAAATCGCCAATATCCCTCCACAACCTGATATGTATGACTCCTTCGCTAAGCTTGTCCAGCAGGTCTTGAGAAAAATGATACCTAGAGGCTGTCGAACCCATTACATCGCAGGACTCTCTGAAGAGGCAAAGCCACTGCTAGAACGATACCAAGGTCTCTTTGACAATGATCCCTTTGCTGAGGACACACTTCTAGCTGGTGAAGAGCTTATGTCAGTCATTGCCGAAAATCGCAAAACTAAGTGGTGTGATCTTGTGGAGAGTTTAGATATGCAGGTGAACAGCAGACGGGCCTGGAGGTTCCTCAAGAACATAAATGGAGATGCGACAAAACCAAAAGACATCTTTACAACGGTTACTGCCGATCAAGTCGCTACCAACCTTCTTTTAAATGGCAAAACCTATGGAAGGAAATACCGGGAGCCTGTTGTGCGTGATGTGGCAAGTGAGAATCATTTCCAGGAAGAACCATTCACCATGTCCGAGCTAACTGCAGTCATTACCAGCTTAAAGACTAACAGAGCTCCAGGTATTGACGAGATCAGAGTCGAACAACTAAAGAACCTAGGTAAAAATGCCATGCAATGGTTGTTGAGCCTCATGAACATGTGCGTAAGCCAAATGCAAAGGCATGGAGGCTGCACTGCTCAAACCTGGGAAAGATCCAAAAGAACTTTCAACCTGTTTCTCTCTTATGCCACACATATAAAATATTAGAACGTCTAATACTCAATCGAATCGGCAATTTTCTGGAACAAAAGATCATTCCACAACAGGCAGGCTTTCGATCAGGCTAGTCTTGTTGTGGCCAAGTTTTAAACCTGACCCAGCACATTGAGGATGGGTTTGAGAGAAAACAGATCACGGGTGTCGCTTTTGTAGATTTAACAAATTCTCATTTCATACTGGGGCTCCAAACAAATTTATTTCTTTGGTTAGTACGTTATTTGAATTATTGATTACAGTAGGCCTATATATGTTTGAGTTTTTATAAAGGGTGATAGATTACTGAGTACCGGTAGTGTAATAAAATTTAGTAGCTATTTCATATGCCTACATTGTGTCAGTTCAATCAGTTCCTGCCTATTCCCACACATTGTCAAGCGAGTATACTGAGCTAAGTTAATTCACTTTAGTTGTCATTTTTATTTTTCACGTTTAACGTAAAGTCAAAACCAAAATAAAAGTTTACACCTAAGACATAGCTGTTAATTAATAGCCCGGTAATACTGAACTTATACTTCTTATATGTTATATTGCATTTTTTTGTCTTGTTTACCGAAATTAGACTAAATTGACCATACAGCTAATGGCAACTAAGGGACCTACAGTACAGTTTATAGTGGAATCCGACCACATTTTTTCCTTAAACGAATTGGTCAAATTTTCAGGATGGTACTGCTGATAGTCCTACTGCTCACTAGTGCAGACGTTAATCCACGCCAGGGAGTATCACATCCACAGTGTATGCCTATAATAATATCCACAATTCGTGACCCCCTGGTGGCTGGATTACAGGACGTTGTCACCATCCCAGTCCCAGTTATCATAAGTTAAATATGTTTGTAGGACAGTCCTCCTTTCGTTATGAATCGAACGATACCAGATGAGACATAACTTACATTCTATTGATGATAACCCAACCTAAGATAACCGCCGCAGCGCGCTGTATAAGGGTTGCCTCTGTATAATACCAATGTACTAAGTTGTGTTTAAAGAATATAAAGATATTAGGTTTAGTACACTATTTTTGGGATAACAATATTGGGTAGGCTTCAATATCTGTTGGCACAAACAACCGAATGAAAATATCGATTATTCGATTGTTGCATACGATATATCGATCAATATTTTCATTCGGTTTGTGCACGATATTATTATTTATTGTTTCCTAACAGACTGACACTGCTGGGTTGCTCAAATCATTGCATAGCCTTGTATAAAATCTAGGTCTAGTAACTTAGCGTTACTCAATTGTCTGATAGGGGAACCTATTCATATTTTACCTGAGGGTAATCTACAAATTTTAGATTGTTGTAAAGTGTAGTTAAATGACAAAATTCTGCTTCAATTTAGCTGGAACACTGATACCCTAGTATAAATAACCAACTTACATATTGAGTCAACTCTTGTACATTCTTAGGGTCACTTGTTGTACCTACTGCAAAGTTTTGCTGTTCCTCAGTAGGCTTAACTTCTGGTTTAATGTCTGCCATGACTTCACTTCAATTTGAATATAGGCTTCAAACTTCCAGAGATTTCCACTTCAATTTTGTTTGGAAATAGATGTTACTTCCTGTCACTTCTCTTCTTGGTTAGATTTTTGCCTCCAATCAACAGACTACAAAGTCTACCGATTGACAGTTTTCGTTTTCAGTTCAGTCAGAAGAAAAGAAGCTGCGTTCCGTTCTAGATTGAAGATAACCAGCTGTTCATGAATCGCCAACTACATAAAAAAGATCTTACAAAATGTCAGTGCTGTAGGTTATTATTAGTGTATAATATTACCATTGATTAAAAAGGTACTCTCTAATAGATTTATCAATCATCCTTATGGGTAAAATATATAAAATATGAAACAAATATTAGTACACTAGTACATGCTACATATTTTACTATAGAACAAGGAGCCCAGTTGTACACAAAAAAAAGTTAGTAATTATTTTACTTTTATGTACGTGATACTTTTACTAACAATCCTTTGACATACTATTACAAAATAAATGAAATGAAATTTCTTTGTGCCGATGTCACCACTGAGCTATAATTAATAATATCGATAATGACTATTATGTGAACTAAGCTGCATTCTTTAGGTACAAAATTGACATAAGACAATTTTAAGCTGTGCTTATGATATTTTGAAAGAATTTCAATGGTTTTTTCGTTATTTCAAGAACTTTCCATCCAAAAATCTTTAAGGTTAAGGAATATGAGGTGGCCAAAGAGCAGTGGATAAAATTATTTCCTCCTTATTCCCTGCACTTATATGGATGTGTTTTTGGCGAGTTAATGGCCGAAGCAGGGTATTTACTCAGGGGAGGTATAGAAGAGGCTACGATGACAGCTGAGATCTTCTTATTAGCTGAGGGAACGCCATTACCGTAACAAAACGTTCAACAGCCATCGACCTCGGTGGTCTATAGGTTGGCGTGCCGGGCTGATATACTGTAGGTCCCAGGTTCGAATCCCGCTGATAGCGTTAACTTTTTGTCCAAGATTTTTTTATTATCAGCAAGTTTGGTTGGTTTGGTTTGGTTATTACAGTTTAATTTTATTATTAAGTCATTATAAAATTTTAATTGAGCAATTTCTAGTTTTATTTAATAAACAGAATTATTTTTCCGATTACTAAACTTTTGTTATATTATTTCTTTATCAGCAAGTTTGGTTAGTTCGGTTAGGTTATGATAGTTTAATTTTATAATTAAAAAATAGTAAAATTGAATTTGAGGCATTTATAATTTTATTTTATGAACAGAACTATTTTTGCGATTAGTAAACCTTCATTGCCAAAGTGCTCTCTACTACAGCGCTGTTCGCGGAGGAATTTTGAACTAAATGCCTCATTTGTACCTCCCCTAAGTCAGACCCCCAAAGCAGTAGTTCGACGGAAACAGACCCTGATGTAGGGGTCAGCGTCCCAGTGCCACCGCTTAATGTATCTTGCACTGTAGGCTAGATTAGATTACATGTTTTGTAGACCGAGAACAAGGTGCGTATCGTAAGGCAAAGATGGCCGGAATTATGAGTGTTCATTAAATTAATGATATGATAGCTTATTTGTTACAGTGACTGAGATCAGCTAGTTATTAGCCAGGACCATTCATAAAGTTCTGATAAAGGATAACTGGGTCCAGTTAAGAACCACAAAAAGCTAGTATATACTGTTCTTATAGGACTGAATCGCTGACCCTCTGGTTAACAGGAGGGCAAATACTCATACTCAGCAATCCAAGTTGTCATTGGTTATTTGTGGAAATCAAACCCAAAGCATCGAGAACAGGAGTGCTCTTAAACCACTTGTTAAGACTTGCTCCATTATTCATTAATCCTTTATCAAGTTTTGATATAGTTATCCGATTTGTTTAAATAGTTTTGAATCAATGTTTTCCGTTTGAGCGAATTTCCCTATAGGGAAGTAGCTATTGCCGTAGGTGGCACGGTAAGACCTAGGCCCGGGAACGATTTACTTTTTCATTTTGATGTCACCAGAGGACAAGAACACCATTCGTTCAAATTTGTGTGACATATATTCATATATGTCTCCAGTAGCGCGATAACTCGAGCAAAAATCATCCGATTTTGATTAGATTCAATACAAACGTGTAAGCGTACGTTTATTCGAACGAGTTTGCGAACCAGCATGATCGGGGGAACAGGGGTTTATGGGGTAAAAAATTGTTTACAGTTAAGTTTGTGTTTTTAATTTATAAATAATGTTTTGATATTGTGTGGATATTGTTTAGGTATAGTGGTAGAACATAATTGCTATAGTATAGGTATATGTGTTATACTTATAGCTTCCGTAAATTAAAAGAACCAAATTTTCTCAAACTGTGTCCTCTTCCATTGCAAACACAAAGCACGAGTAACTGCAATAAGCATTTTATACTTATACGCAACCCCCGTATGAAGGACGGGTATTCTGCTAGTAGGGAATAAATGTGATATTTTTTAGGAGACATTTCCCATGTAGCACAGATGGTTGGGCCAACGTTGGTAAATAGTGGAGCCACACAGTTGGCCAACGGTAGAAATGTCACCTCTTTAAACTGTTTTCCAGCCAACCATTGTCCAACCGTTTTATTTCACACAAAATAATAAAGATTTAGTACGAAAAGCATAATTATTAGTTGAGTAAATCGATTAAATAGTTCATAAAAACAAATTTTGAAAAAAGCTAGAACAAAATTTTTTGGCCCAGACGGGTCTCGAACCCGGGTCCTTCGATTTATGAGCCTCTTACTTTACCACTGAGCTATCTGTGATTGTTGATATAGAGAGTTTTAAAGTGGTGAAAGAGTAGCCGACAGTTGCAATGGTCGCAATACTTTAAACATTTTTGATACTACACAGTATAATATGATTCTGTTAATCTGTTAAGGCATCAAAAGTAGTTATTTTTTTTTTTTTGGAGTTAGAGAGGATACTGGTATTTGAATATAGATTAATTAATTACCGTTAGATTATTAATGCTATTATAATTGCCTGTTATATGATTAATTACTCTTTCCCCTTAAATTGTTGCAAATAAGTTAAAGAATATTAATTTAAAAAATATTTGCATTATTATAATTATTAAAATTCATTGTTGTAGCCCCGGAACTGTAATATATAAAATATCTGGTTTTACAATACCTTTATCAGTTCCAAAAACTTTTGGAAACTTTTGGAACTGATAAAGGTATTGTAAAACCAGATATTTTATTATAATTATGTTGTGAAAACTAGACCCAGAGAATGAAAGTCGTGTAAACTCAACTATGGACCATCGTTGGTCCAACAAAAGTATCTTTTGTTGGTCCAACGGAGTGAAAAACGGTTGGACAACGGTTGGCTTGATGTATGATATCCAGCAATGCATATTAATGTATTTCATTAACAATGAACCAATGTTGGTCCACAGTTGTAAATATTGGTTGGCCCAACTACGAGATATACAGTTGGACAACGGTTGGTTGGTTGTGGAGGCTCCAACCAACCATCGACCAACTGTCCCACAGTTGGCCAACGTTGGCCCAACCATCTGTGCTACATGGGTTTAGTGTAAATCCAATCAGGCAAATAGAAATTCGCTTAGTCTGCTGGTTTGCTGCGGCGGGGGTATTAGTTTCCTTATAGGTACTCGTTAAACCTGATGTTATTTAAAAATATTTGGAAATTCGCTTAGTCGACAGTTTTGTTTCTGCGGGGGTATTTATTTAATGCCAATAAGAATTAATAAATTGTATAAAATAACATTGGCATAAAAAGGTTGCAAATATGTTACACAGTATATGCCACTGGATTATGCATCAACTTTATTTGGAAACTTACTAATTCTATTATTTATATAACATATAACAATGTAACAGTTATAGTGATTTGACGGCTACGATGGCTAATTTTTTAAAGCCGTAGCCTATAATATAATACATTTCTTTATTTGTTTATAAAGAATCAAGACATAGCATAAACTAAACTCTTACCTTCTGACTCAGGAGTCTATTGACATGTTTAATCTATACGCTATTACTTCCCTAGCAACGTTCAACAGATTAGGCCCCTTCCTGTCGCCAACGCTGCCTGGTACCATAGATAAAGCGTTCACTATAGTCTATGCTGGTACTTTCGGTGCTACAATGAGATCGATACAAAACTCACAGCGAGAGGTGTTTGGCCAAAGCCCAGCGGTCCTACCACCACCCCTGGTTTAAGTCAGAGTTTTATTCACCAGGCCGCTTTCCTGAAAAATCTTCAGATTTCTCTTCCTGCTGTCAGCTTCAATCTTTGTCCTTCAAGGCACATTCTGTGCCCAACCAAAACCTCTCCCCTCACCTAGTACCCTCTGTACTAGGATCATAGGATTTTTTTCAATCTTCTTAATTTATTTCATCTTTCCTAATATTTGTCCTTTTCACATTCCAGCCTGTCTTCCTGCATTTTTAAAATTCATGCTTTTTCTTTCCTATCCTTCGGCACATTCTGGCAAACTCCAGTGCAGATTCTTTAGTATCTCAAGAAGTTGATCTTCTCCCAAGCCCATGTCTTTTGTCGGAGGAATCCCCTCATGTCGCTTCTTTCTTCTTCGTATAATGGGCACTTCATCAGTACGTGTTGCGATGTCTCCAGCTCTTCTCAATGAGAGCAAAGATCATCATCGATGAGGTTGAAACTTCCCCTTCCTTTTGTGCTTGACTCCCACCGTCTCTGCCAGTCAACGAGTCTTTCTTCCCTTCGGATCATCAAGGTCTCCTTGATGTCGACACCTTCTTCTTTGTCCCTTATTATTCTCTTAATCCTTTCTTCAACCATCAAGTCAAGCGGGATGACCCTGGCAATCACTCAGTCAGCTTCGTAAAAGAAAAGATCTAAAAAAAACAAATACTGTAATTTAGTATCCCAACGTGTTTTTGTACGGTGATTGGTTAAGGAGAAAATTCAAAACATTTTTAATTTAAAAATCTCATGTTATTCTTATGGATAATATTGTAAAATGTTGTAGTTGGCTTGTTTATGGATATATTTTGATCAAAACTTGGCGGATTTATTTGTTTCATACTAAGCTATTGATATTTTAATAAATAAACGGTATCAGCATTCTGACACATACTTTCTCCCATAAGTTTGTCAACAACCTTTATCATGTGTAAGCGGTGAGACGGAAATGGGATTAGTACAATTTTGTTCAGAATTTAAAGGACTACATACTTAATTTTTATCAAAATCGTTCGGGCCATTTTTGTAAAAATCCGATTTTTCCGTTATTTTATGGGGTTTTTATGGGAAAATAACATAATTTACAATAACTTTTGAACCATAATCTTTACAGAAATGGGATTTGTACCATTTTGTTCAGAATATAAAGGACAATAACATACAACATTTTTATGAAAATCGTTCAGGCCGTTTTTGGGAAAATCCTATTTTTCCGTTATTTTATGGAGTTTTATGGGAAAATTCCCATTAAAAATAATTTTTTTTTAAATGAAAAACTATAAAAACTTTAAGGACTATAACATACTATGTTAAAATAAAACCGTGTTTTTTTTTCTAAAATCCTATTTTTCGTTATTTTATGGGGGTTTTATGGGAAAATAACATAATTTACCATAACTTTTGAACCGTAATTTTTACAGAAATGGGATTTGTACCATTTTGTTCAGAATTTAAAGGGCTACAACATACTCAACTTTTATCAAAATCGTTCGGGCCATTTTCGAGAAAATCCAATTTTTCCGGTTTTTTATGGGTTTTTATGGGGAAATCCCCATTAAAAATCAAAGTTTCAAAAAATGAAAAAAACACCTGGAGATACCATGGATTAGAACCTACATACCAAATTTCATCGAAATCGGACCACAGGTGTAGTCCCTAGCTCTGTACACATCCAGACACACACACACACACACACACACACACACACACACACACACACACACACAGAGAGAGACATCACTTCGAAAACCACTTTTTTGGGTCCAGGGGGACCCAAAACGAATATATCCACTCAAAACTCAAACTCGAAAATTTTGACGAAAACAATACTTTCTCCATATACTATGGTATAGGGGGAGAAAGTAAAAAAAAAACACACTTTATTAGTTTCCTTATAGCACCTAACCTAGGTACTCGTTATACAGGGTGTTTCAAAATGAATCAACCGATTTTGAAAAATCATAGCTACTCATCTATGAATCCGATTTGATCGAACATTGTACTGTTGGAAAGAGGAAATTCTCAAGTTTCACGGAAAATATCTAAAAGTCCCATTTTCAAATTTTAACCCCCTCCCCAACAAAAAAATCCAAAATGGTAGACATCTGAAAAAGAAAAACACAGTTTTTTTTAAACGGCTATAGCTAGAATGCGGTAAGAGCTATAGCGAAGATTTGAAAGAATTTTCACGGTCAGAAATTAAATTTTCTACAAGACACTCTTAGGCGTTTTCCGAAAATCACACCATTTCACCCCAGAAAAACGCCCTACTTTCAAAAATTTGCATTTGTTTTCAAATTTTTTATTATTTTTCACAACTCTTTTCTACCTTAGTAAATTTGTATTACAAGTTGCACATATGCTGTACATCTAAAGGAGACCATATTGAGCACCTATAAATGGTATGTAAAAAACTTTATGATTTACTCTTTAATATAAAATTAACCTCATGTCCGTATGATTATTAGTTTTCAAATTGTAAACCTACGAAATCGGATGATTCTTTTTGAAACACCCTGTAATAAAGGTTTATTTAATAGATTAATTGAAAATCGATCCTGGCAAATGGAAATTCGCTTAGTCGGCTGGTTTGCTGCAGCGGGGGTATTAATTATATTGAGATAGTTTTTGCATGTATATAGTACACTTGGCGACAGTATTTGGTTAACTGGCTAGTATGCGCTTAGCTTTCGTCGAAAATCAATACGTGACTAAAGTAATGATTCACTATTCTGGAAAGTTCCATGACGTCATTGTGTATTCACTTTTGTGAACCCTGTCGCTTCCTATGCGCTGCTATGAATGCTATGATTGGTCCTTGGATTCTAGAAATCTTCCTCATTCGTCGCCAGGATCGCTTGCTCTCCGGACGTTTCTGCTACGAAGCTGGATTAGACATTTCTTTTGTCCACTTTTTAGGTAAGTTCTTATTTATCTCTTTATGTTATAGGTCTAATCCTGTAATATACTTATCTTAAGCAATTACATTTTATTAGTGCAACATTTTTTCAGTGCTTAAATAGTCTTGCGTTTTATTATTGCGACATACGTTGCAACCTTGCTGCGTGTTCTATTTTGGTGTGTAGGCTAAGTCTGTGCGTTAGCTGATTTACAAATAAAAAACATAGGCCTTATTGTTTTTGTAATATAATTGTATTGGAAAAATTTAAGATTCACTCTTCGCAATTTCAAAAGGCTTGACAAGTTTTAATGTAGGCTAGAAGGTCAAGCAGTGACGAATGGCCTTGAAGTGAAAGGAAATTTCTGCGCAGTAGGCAGTAGGCACTAGTTTCAACATTAGCAGTATACATTTTTCAAGTCTTCGTTATTCAGGTTTGATAAAATTGTGCAATATATTGCTTGACCCGATAATCTTTAACTTATGGCAGTCTTAAAGCTGGGATCTTTACTTTTATTTGACTCCCCAAGTGTCCATAGCCTAACTTAAGCTAAAAGGTCTTACCCATAATGTTTCCCCCATTTATTGCACATTCTCAGGGTTTTATTAAACTGTTTCTGAGAAACTTTAACCCTCCAAGTGTCCATAGTAATGGTATTAATGTCCGCCCATTTATTGCGCAATCGCAGGGTGATGTAGGCTAAGTATCTTAACAACTTAAAAACAATGTAAAGTAACTATGGATGTAAAACTGCCAATAAACCAACATTAAGCTATGACGTCGACGTCAGATCAGCAGATCAAGAAGGCCGTGGCTTCAGAACTTCCTAACCTCAAATGCATGTTTCACTGAAAAATGTGGAAATCATATATTTTGAGCAGTGTTTAAGTGTTTGTTTTACTAATGTACCATTTTTATATAACTGAGTTGCCTAAATAAAGTACAATAACCATTAATATCACTTGTTGTTATTCCATTGTATCACTCTATGAACCACTAACCTCAAAGTGCATTACTCGCAACAAAGATATGTAAACATTCCTTTCAGCCTATTTTAATATTAAATTTAATTAATTTGATTAATAAATGTAACCGAGGCACATACGAAAAAAAATAATGATATAACACTGTTACTGTTATACCATAATATTGAATCACGAAATATACTCCCGACGTACGAGATTGTAACAGTGTTACAGTAAATAAAAACAGCTTCAACTGGTACAATCAACAGAATGAGTAAAGTGTATTATTTCAAATCTGGTTTGATTCATGTTTATTATTTTCATGGAGTATGTTATTTACACGTATATACATGCCATAATAAAATGGCAAGCCCATTCGATGCTTATAATGGTTACTGTAGGTGGTATAAGATAGGCCTGCTCCTTACTGGGCTACGTTTTTTTCAGATAAAAAAATTATATTTCAAATTTCGCTCGATAAATTTTTATTATTTTTATGGAGTATGTTATTTAGACTTCTATACATGTTATAATTAAATGGCAAGCCCATTCAATGCTTATGATGGTTTCTATAGGTGGTAGAAGATAAGCCTGCACCTTATTGTGCTACCAAATTTTCATAAAAAAAATTATATTTCAAATTTGGCTCGGTAAATTTTGATTATTTTTATGGAGTATGTTATTTACAAGTATACACGTGACATAATTAAATGGCAAGCCCATTCAATGCTTATGATGGTTTCTATAGGTGGTAGAAGATAGGCCTGCTCCTTACTGGGCTAAGGTTTTTTTCAGATTAAAAAATTATATTTCAAATTTGGCTCGATAAATTTTCATTATTTTTATGGAGTATGTTATTTAGACGTATACACATGTCATACGTAAATGGCAAGCCCATTCAATGCTTATGATGGTTTCTGTAGGTGGTAGAAGATAGTCCTGCTCCTTACTGAGCTACCGATTTTTCAGAAGAAAAAAATTATATTTCAAATTTCGCTCGATAAATTTTGATTATTTTTATGGAGTATGTTATTTACAAGTATACACGTGACATAATTAAATGGCAAGCCCATTCAATGCTTATGATGGTTTCTATAGGTGGTAGAAGATAGGCCTGCTCCTTACTGGGCTACGTTTTTTTCAGATAAAAAAATTATATTTCAAATTTCGCTCGATAAATTTTCATTATTTTTATGGAGTATGTTATTTAGACGTATACACATGTCATACGTAAATGGCAAGCCCATTCAATGCTTATGATGGTTTCTATAGGTGGTAGAAGATAGTCCTGCTCCTTACTGAGCTACCGATTTTTCAGAAGAAAAAAATTATATTTCAAATTTCGCTCGATAAATTTTGATTATTTTTATGGAGTATGTTATTTAGACGTATACACATGTCATACGTAAATGGCAAGCCCATTCAATGCTTATGATGGTTTCTATAGTTGGTAGAAGATAGTCCTGCTCCTTACTGAGCTACCGATTTTTCAGAAGAAAAAAATTATATTTCAAATTTCGCTCGATAAATTTTGATTATTTTTATGGAGTATGTTATTTAGACTTCTACACATGTTATAATTAAATGGCAAGCCCATTCAATGCTTATGATGGTTTCTATAGGTGGTAGAAGATAGGCCTGCTCCTTACTGGGCTACGGTTTTTTTCAGATAAAAAAATTATATTTCAAATTTCGCTCGATAAATTTTGATTATTTTTATGGAGTATGTTATTTACAAGTATACACGTGACATAATTAAATGGCAAGCCCATTCAATGCTTATGATGGTTTCTATAGGTGGTAGAAGATAGGCCTGCTCCTTACTGGGCTACGGTTTTTTTCAGATAAAAAAATTATATTTCAAATTTCGCTCGATAAATTTTGATTATTTTTATGGAGTATGTTATTTACAAGTATACACGTGACATAATTAAATGGCAAGCCCATTCAATGCTTATGATGGATTCTATAGGTGGTAGAAGATAGGCCTGCTCCTTACTGGGCTACGGGTTTTTTCAGATAAAAAAATTATGTTTCAAATTTCGCTCGATAAATTTTGATTATTTTTATGGAGTATGTTATTTACAAGTATACACGTGACATAATTAAATGGCAAGCCCATTCAATGCTTATGATGGTTTCTATAGGTGGTAGAAGATAGTCCTGCTCCTTACTGAGCTACCGATTTTTCAGAAGAAAAAAATTATATTTCAAATTTCGCTCGATAAATTTTCATTATTTTTATGGAGTATGTTATTTAGACGTATACACATGTCATACGTAAATGGCAAGCCCATTCAATGCTTATGATGGTTTCTATAGGTGGTAGAAGATAGTCCTGCTCCTTACTGAGCTACCGATTTTTCAGAAGAAAAAAATTATATTTCAAATTTCGCTCGATAAATTTTGATTATTTTTATGGAGTATGTTATTTACAAGTATACACGTGACATAATTAAATGGCAAGCCCATTCGATGCTTATGATGGTTTCTATAGGTGGTAGAAGATAGGCCTGCTCCTTACTGGGCTACGGTTTTTTTCAGATAAAAAAATTATATTTCAAATTTCGCTCGATAAATTTTCATTATTTTTATGGAGTATGTTATTTAGACGTATACACATGTCATACGTAAATGGCAAGCCCATTCAATGCTTATGATGGTTTCTATAGGTGGTAGAAGATAGTCCTGCTCCTTACTGAGCTACCGATTTTTCTGAAGAAAAAAATTATATTTCAAATTTGGCTCGATAAATTTTGATTATTTTTATGGAGTATGTTATTTACAAGTATACACGTGACATAATTAAATGGCAAGCCCATTCAATGCTTATGATGGTTTCTATAGGTGGTAGAAGATAGGCCTGCTCCTTACTGGGCTACGGTTTTTTTTCAGATAAAAAAATTATAATTCAAATTTCGCTCGATAAATTTTCATTATTTTTATGGAGTATGTTATTTAGACGTATACACATGTCATACGTAAATGGCAAGCCCATTCAATGCTTATGATGGTTTCTATAGTTGGTAGAATATAGTCCTGCTCCTTACTGAGCTACCGATTTTTCAGAAGAAAAAAATTATATTTCAAATTTCGCTCGATAAATTTTGATTATTTTTATGGAGTATGTTATTTAGACTTCTACACATGTTATAATTAAATGGCAAGCCCATTCAATGCTTATGATGGTTTCTATAGGTGGTAGAAGATAGGCCTGCTCCTTACTGGGCTACGGTTTTTTTCAGATAAAAAAATTATATTTCAAATTTCGCTCGATAAATTTTCATTATTTTTATGGAGTATGTTATTTAGACGTATACACATGTCATACGTAAATGGCAAGCCCATTCAATGCTTATGATGGTTTCTATAGTTGGTAGAAGATAGTCCTGCTCCTTACTGACCTACCGATTTTTCAGAAGAAAAAAATTATATTTCAAATTTCGCTCGATAAATTTTGATTATTTTTATGGAGTATGTTATTTAGACGTATACACATGTCATACGTAAATGGCAAGCCCATTCAATGCTTATGATGGTTTCTATAGTTGGTAGAAGATAGTCCTGCTCCTTACTGACCTACCGATTTTTCAGAAGAAAAAAATTATATTTCAAATTTCGCTCGATAAATTTTGATTATTTTTATGGAGTATGTTATTTAGACGTATACACATGTCATACGTAAATGGCAAGCCCATTCAATGCTTATGATGGTTTCTATAGGTGGTAGAAGATAGGCCTGCTCCTTACTGGGCTACGGTTTTTTTCAGATAAAAAAATTATATTTCAAATTTCGCTCGATAAATTTTGATTATTTTTATGGAGTATGTTATTTACAAGTATACACGTGACATAATTAAATGGCAAGCCCATTCAATGCTTATGATGGATTCTATAGGTGGTAGAAGATAGGCCTGCTCCTTACTGGGCTACGGTTTTTTTCAGATAAAAAAATTATATTTCAAATTTCGCTCGATAAATTTTGATTATTTTTATGGAGTATGTTATTTAGACGTATACACATGTCATACGTAAATGGCAAGCCCATTCAATG